ATTGGTGACTGGAATGCAGAAGATGGAAACAGAGAAGAATCACCGGTAGTTGGAAAATATGACCTTGGTGATAGAAATAATGTTGAAGATCACATGACAGAATTTTGCAAGACCAATTACTTATTCATTGCAAATACATTTTTTCAATGACACAAATGGCAGCTATACACATGGACTTCAGATGGCATATATAGGAATCAGATTGACTATATCTGTGGAAAGAGGTGATGGAGAAGCTCAATATCATTACCAGGACAAGACCAGGAGCTGACTAGAACAATCAACTGCTCTTATGCAAGTTCAAGTTGAAATTGAAGACAATTAAAACAAGTTCACAGGAACCAAAATATGACCTTGATAATATCCCTCTTGAATTTAGGAACTATATAAAAAATAGATTTGATGCATTGAACACCAATGACTGAAAACCAGAGGAACTTGGGACGACATCAAGAACATCATCCACAAAGAAAGGGAAGTTGATTAGAAATACAGGAAAGGAAGAAAAGACCAAAATGGATGTCAGAAGAGACTCTGAAACTTGCCCTTCAATGGAGAGTAGCTAAAGCAAATAGAAGGAGCTCTGGTACCATAGTGCCTAAGGCACTTGACTGCTAATCAGAAGGCTGGAAGTTCAAACCCACCAGCCACTTCTCAGAGGGAAGGTTGGGCAATCTACTTTTGTAGTGATACCACCTCAGAAACCTAAGGAGGGGTCACTATGAGTTAGGTCTGACTTGACGACACATAACAACAACAACAACAACAAAGAAGATAGAAGAAATGACAAGATAAAATAGCTGAACAGAAAATTTCAAAGACAGCTCGAGAAGATAAAGTCAATTACTATAATGAAATGTGCAAAGACATGGAGTTAGAAAACCAAAAGAATGCACTCAGAATTTCTGAAGATGAAAGAACTAAAGAAAAAATTCAAGGCTTGAGTTGCAATATTGAAAGATTCTATGGGAAATATATTGAATGATGCAGGAAATATCAAAAGAAGATGGGAGGAATACACAGAGTCCCTGTACCAAAAAGAATTAGTCGATGCTCATTCATTTCAGGAGGTGGCATATGATCAAGAACCAATGGTACAGAAGGAAGAAGTTGAAGCTGCCCTGAAGGAATTGGTGAAGAACAAGGCTCCAGGAGTTGATGCAATACCATTGAGATGTTTCAACAAACTGATGTTGCGCTGGGGGCCCTTATTGTCTATGCCAAGAAATTTGGAAAACAGCTACCTGGCCAACTGACTGGAAGAGATCCATTCCAAGGGTGATCCCATAGAACATGGAAATTATCAAACAGTATCATTAATATTACATGAAAATAAAGTCTTACTGAAGATAATTCAGAAACAGTTCTAGCAGTATATTGACAGAGAACTTCCAGAAATGCAAGCTGGATTCAGAAGAGGACGTGGAACAAGGGATATCATTGCTGATGTCAGATGAATCTCGGCTGAAAGTAAATAATACCAGAAAGATGTTTACTTGTGTTTTATTTTCTGTGCAAAATCATTTGATTATGTGTATCATAACAAATTGTGGATAACATTGAGAAGAATGGGAATTCCAGAGTAGTTGATTGTTCTCACCAGGAACCTGTACATAGACTAGGAGGCTTTCATTTGAACAGAACAAGGGGATACTGCATCATTTAAAATCAGAAAGGGAGTGAATTGAGGTTGTATCCTTTCCCCATACTTATTCAATCTGTATGCTGAACAAATATCTGAGAAGCTAGACTACATGAAGAAAAACATGGAATCAGGACTGGAGGAAGACTCATTAACAAGCTGAAATATGCAGATGACATAATATTGCTTGCTGAAAGTCAGGATGACTTGAAGCAGTTACTGATGGAGATTAAATACTACAGTCTGCAGTATGGATTACACCTCAACATAAAGAAAATGAAAATCCTCACAAATGGACAAATAAGCAGCATCACAATTAATGGAGAAAAGACTGAAGTTTTTAAAGATTTCATATTACTTGGTTCTACAATCAACACCAATGGAAGCAGCAGTCAAGACATCAGAGGACGTATTGCACTGGGGAAATCTGTTGCAAAAGACCCTTTTCAAGTGCTGAAGAGCAAGGATGTCTCCTTGAAGACTAAGATGTGCCTAACCCAAGCCATGGTATTTTCAATCACCTCATATGCATGTAAGAGCTGGACAATGAACAAGGAAGAGTTAAGAAGAGTTGATGCATTTGAGTTGTGGTGTTGGTGAAGAAAACTAAAAGAATGAACAAATCTGTCCTGGAAGAAGTTCAGCTGGAATGCTCCCTGGAAACAAGAAAGCCAGATTTCATCTCACCTACTTTGGTTATGTTGTCAGAAGGGCCCATTCCCTGGAGAAGGGAATCATTCTCGGTAAAGTCAATGAAAAACAGGAAGGCCCTCAATGAGATGGATTGATACAGTGGCTGCAATGATGGGCTTACATGTGGCAAGGATTGTGAGACTGGCACTGGACCGGGCAGTGTTTCATTCTGTTGTACATCAGGTTGCTATGAGTCAGAGATGACTCAACAGCACCTAATAACAACAATGTTTGGTTTTATGAATGCTTCAGAGGATATTTTTGGTTTAAAGTTTAATGTTTTCTCAGGGCAATTATTTCAGGGGCTCATCCAACCTTCATGACTCCAGGAAGTCTGTAGTTCATGACAATTTGAAATGCTGTTTTTCATTTTCCCCATTTTAATCAGGATGCCTCTAGACTCTTTCATCAAAATGTTTGACAATCGTAGCCAGGCACCCTCCAGTTCTTGCTGTCTCATGGCAAAGGAGGCAGTTGTTCATGGAGGCAAGTAGTCAAACATTCCATATTCTCCTATTTCTGCGTCTTCTTCTTCCTCTGTCATTTCAGTCAACAGCAACCAATTGTGCCCTGGATGCCTGCTTGCAAGATTTTAAGACCCTGGGCACTATGCATTGAACACAGAAACACTGAACATGTTATTAGGTCACAAAGACATGACCCTAAACCTCCAAACCAAGAAACAAAATTCCCTGAAGTTTCTGGTTATATATAAGCAGCCTCAGTAGCTACTTTTCTTTTTTGTCATTGTTGTAAATACATTTATCACAGATCTTTTGCCAATACAGTTTTTTAGAGTGTACAACTTATTGATGGCAATTACAGTAATTAGATGTGCAACCCTACCTTAATCAACATAATATATCCATCACCATTGTTCTGGTTACTTAGTGCCACTCTGACAGGAATATATCACAAATGGGGTAGCCTTAACAAACAGGAGTTTATTCTCTTACAGTTCAGGAGGCTAGGAGTCTGAGTTCAAAGTGCCAGCCTCTAGGGGCTGGGTGAAAGCCCCTCAACCTTTTGAGCTTCAGCTCTGCCTCTTGCTCCTGGCCCAATGAAGCTAGCGGCATCTCTTTACTCAGGCAGCTAGTGGCTGCTGAGGCTAACAAGCCCGAGGTTGACAAACAAAATGGCACAGTCCCACTGTTACCAAACCACATGGCAGGCCATTGATTCAACTCCATTTAAAGTCCCAAGGTCGGCAGCTCATGGCAGGCTGCTGAACAATGACTCAGCTACATGCCAGGTTCAAGTGTGCCATAAGCTAGAGATCATTCTCAAAGCTGCTTCTTATATATGGGAAGCAGACCACATACCCAAAGCAGCTACTCAGCTGCTCCAATAGATTCCACCATGGACTTAATTACCAATCTCACCATGGGGAATAACTACATCCAGCTGCTCAGCCACTCAACCAGGCCCGGCCAAGTTGACACACAGACTTAACCACCACAACCATTAATTCTCTCTCCCTGCCACCCTGCTGCATCTCACCCATGGTAACCACTAATACTGTTCTTTATACATTTACTTTTCCTTTTTTATGTAAGTACAGTTATACATTTGTCCTTTTGTGATTGACTTATTTCATTCAGCATGATATGCTTCAGTTCCCTCCATCCACATTGTAGCATGCTTTAAGACTTCATTTCTCCTATTGGCTGAATAGTATTCCATTGTATGTATGTACCACTTTGTTTTATCCATTCATTTGCTGACGGGCATTTAGGATGCTTCCACCTTTTGGCTACTGTGAATAGTGCTGCAATGAATACTGGTGTACAAGTATCTATTTGTGTCTCTTTCAAATCTTTTGGGTATATACCTAGGAGTGGAATTGCTAGGTTCTGTGGTAGTTCTATTTGCAATTTTTTTGGGGGGAGCCACTATACTGTTTTCCACAACAGCTGTACCATTTTGTATCCCATTACCAATGGGTAAGCATTCCAATTTCTCCATATCCTCACCAACATCTCTTATTTCTTATTTATTTATATATTAATCTTAGCCACCCTAGTGGGATTGAAATGATATCTCATTGTGGTATTGATAGCTAGTAGTATCTTTGCATGTGTTTGGTGCTTTTGAATGTCCTCTTCAAGAAATGTCTATTCAATTCCATTGCCCATTTTAGGATGGGGTTATTTGCCTTTTTGTTGTTAAGTTGTGGAAGTTGTATATATATGGTGGTTATTAGATTCGTATTGGATATATGGTTTCTGAAGATAATTTCCCAGTCAGGAGCCTGTCTTTTCACTATCTTTGTAAACTCTTTTGATAAACAATATTTTAAATTTAATTGTCATGAGGTCCGATTTATTTATTTGGTCTTTTGTTGTTTGTGCTTCTGTTATTAGATAAACTATTTTTAAAAGCTAGGGCTGACAGCCTTGACCCTGCATTTTCTTCTAAAAATTTTATGATTTTAGTCTTCACATTTAGGTTCCTTAACCTACTTTGAATTTGTTTTTGTGTATGGTATGAGGTACGAATCCTCTTAGATTATTTGTGGATGTGGAAATCCAATTTTCCCAAAACCATTTATTGAAAAGACTGTTCTTTCACCATCAAAAATCCATTGGCCATAGATGTGGCCATAGATAACTGAGTTTCTGGACTCTTGGTTATTTTCCATTGGTCCACGGGTCTACTGTTATACCAGTACCAGGCTCTCTTGATTACTGTAGCTGTATAGAATGTTCTTAAATCACGAAGTGTAAATCCTCTGACTTTGTTCTTCTTCTTCAGAATTGCTTTACCTATTTAGAGCTTCTTGCCATTCCATATAAAATTGAAGATTGTTCTTTCCATTTCCAGAAAGAAGGCTATTGGAATTTTGATTGGGATTGTGTTGATGCTATACATCGTTTTAGGTAGTACTGATATATTAACCATTTTAAGTTTTCCAACCCATGAATATGCAACATCTTTCCATTTATTTAAGCCTTCTTTAATCTCATGCAAGGAGCTCTGGTGGTATAGTGGTTAAGGCATTTGGCTGGTAATCAAAAGTCTGGTGGTCCAAATCCAAAAGCTGCTCTACATAAAAAAGATGCAGTCTGCTTCTGTAAAGATTTTGTTGTTGTTGTTAAGTGCTGTCGAGTCATTTCCGACTCATAGCGACCCCATGCACAGCAGAACGAAACACTGCCCGATCCCGCGCCAGCCCCACAATCCCTGCTATACTTGATCCCATCATT